TATGGGGAGTGTTCACATCACAGTATCTTCTCCTCCATCTCTCCCCCTTTTTTGGAATTTTGGGCATGCAAGCACATGAGTCTGGCATGTTTCTTTTCTTTTCTTTTTTTTTTTTTTTTTTAACCTTAAGAGAGATTTTTGCTATAGGGTGTGTGCACTCACAGAAAGACAGAGATAGGAAAGTGAGAAATCACTCCCCAGGGATAATGGCCATGCTATGCTGCAATTCCTTCTCCATTCTCCTCTTGGGATTTTGGGCATGCATGCACATGCGGCCGGCATGAGTTTCAAGCCACTGGGTCCGGAACTCAAACAATAGTCATTCACGTGGGCGACAAGTGACATAACCATTACACCATCTGCTGGTCCCAGAGCCTGGCATGTTTCTTAAACCGCTGGGTCTGGGACTTGAACTACATGGCTGGTCATGTGGGATCCAGCCGTCTTAACCACCAGGCCACAGGCTGGCCCTTTTTATTTAAAAAAAATAAAAATAAAAATTGTCAGAGGGCACATGTGCTCACAAGAGAGAGAAAAAGAGAGAGAAAGCACTCCCCAGGACACATGTGGAATGGTCACACCTCAATCCCTTCTCCATTTCTCTCTCCTGTCAAGATTTTGGACATACACATACATGTACCTGGTGTGCTTTTCAAACCACTGGATCTGGGTCTCAAACCATGCAGTCAGCCATGTGGGATCTAGCACCTTAACACTATACCACCAGTTGGCCTAATATGGTTTATCTTAATAACAGCAGGCATCTGGCAAACCCATCAAATTGCAGAATGTGAGCTCTAGACTATAATTTGACAAGCTAAAGAACAAAACCCCCCAAAAAGCCATTCAAACAAGAGAAGCCAGATGCCTAAGTTCAAAGAGTGAGAGCTGAGCCTGAAATTTAGATCTAATATACTTATTTGATGACTTCAAATTCCCTTTCACACCTCCTGTGACACCCTGTGAAGGAAATGAAGGAAGTAAAGAGTGGGCTGAAGCTTAGCTGGAAAGCACTCTACCCTCAGCATTTAGGAGCAGGTCAATGTCAGCCTACACAAATCTCTAGTGGATTCTGAAGGGCTCTGTCCTTGCCCCAGTCCTGCTCAACAGTTTTACCAACGACAAATGAGGTGTTTATCAAACCTACTCATGACAATGCAAGAAAGACTCCAGGAACAGAATTCAAAGGATTTTAGAAGCCTGAATCAACAGAACCAACAATATCAGATGGCATGTAAAGAGCCAAATGTAAAATTCCGTATTTGGATTCAAAAGCCAGTTCAAAGGCTCCAGGTAATCAAAACAAGGACATCTGACTCCATCTGTCCCACCAAATACAGCTATAGCTCCTAGACAGAAGGCACAGACTCCAAAAAGTAAACAGATCAGCCATGAAGACCAGACTACAAAGTGTCACTGGAACAGCAGCAAATTTCCTGTTTTTATTCTTTGCCTTCTTATGTCCCTCAGGTTGGACCCAGAGACAGAGTACAGACTAGGCACAGACAGAGCTGCAGGAGAAATTCTCCAGTTTAGATTGAAGGAGAGACAATGGGGTCTCCTAATGCCCAGAGTAAGGGCATCTCATCTGTGTTTCCCTTCTTTTTTCCATTCTCACATAACCTAGATCATGCGCTGTCTGCTAAGGTTGTGGTGGCAGCGGGAGCTTGGAAGTGCCTAAGATTTTGAACAAAGGAAACCATTCTTTCTGACCAGAGGAGCTGTGGTCTCAAGAGTTGGGCAAGTTCCTGTTGCTTTCTTCTCCCTGTCCTCCCACTGTATGGCCCTGAACATGGGGACAGTTGCAGGGGGTTTTGCAGGAGAGTGGGTAACTAAAGCCATAGCTTTCCAGTAGGAGGCATGTAAAGAGGAGGAAAGAAAAGGAAACCAGAAAGTACAGGGGGCATTATGGAAAGGAAAAGATCAGAAGGGACAGGACACTCTGAAGCTGTTGAGGAACTCCAGGGCTCACCCTAGGCAGCAGAGGCCTGGATCTGGCCCTAACTAGCATGCCAAACATGCTGAGAATAGAACTTAAAGAAACAGACTAGCCACTGGGTGGTATATGCAGGACACATCTGGGAAGCACAGCAAATGCTATGAAAAGAATCTGACAGGGAACCAGGAGTTAGCGTAATGGCTATGTCGCTGGACTCCCATAGTCAACAACAGTTCGCGTTCTGGACCCGGTGGCTTAAAACTCACGCCGGGCGCGTGTGCGTGTGTGCCCAAGATCCTGACAGGAGAAGGAGGAGAAGGGATTGTAGCATGACCATCCCCCCTGGGGGGTGATTTCTCGTTTTCTGTCTCTATGTCTCTGTCTGTCTGGCGAGCGCACGTGCCCTATAGCGAAAACATCTCAAAAAAAAAAAAAAAAGAAAAGAAAAGAATCTGACAGTGGAATCATAATACATAGGAGGCTGACGAGAACCTGCGTTCTGAACACAACCAGGTTGCTTGCTCACTTGAACATCGATGAGACCCAACCTTCATAATCTAATACTCACTTTCTTCTTTATAAATGCCAGAGCCACATTGTGTACACCAGATAAAGAGAAAGCACCCCAATGGGACCCGGTCATGCCATAATCCTTTTTCCTCCATTTCTCCATCCTATCAGGATCCTGGGCAAGCATGTTGACATGCTGCCGCTGTGCTACAGGGTCAGTCCATGTTACAATCAAAATGCCTAGACCACGACAGAAAATCACTCAGCATATGAAAAACAAGAAAAATCCCAAATTGCATGGAAAAAGATAAGCAACAAACTTGAGTGCCAAGGTGATACAGATGCTGGTATTATCAAATACGTAAAAGCAGCTACTTAAATAATTATCCAGAAAGTAAGGGTGAACGCTCTTAAAGGGAATGAAAAAACAGGAAGCTCAGCGAAGAAATAGAAGGTATTACAGTAGCATCAGGCTCAGCTGCAGGGGCAGGTGCTGCTAAGACTCTGCTACTTGAAACCCAGGCCACTTAGGAGGCCTGGGTTTGATTTTCTGTCTAACCTAAATAGTCCAAGCACAGTGGCATTCACCCGGCAGGCGGAGGCAGCAGGACTGTGACACAGTGAGACTCTGTTAAAATATATCTCCCAGGCAAGCCAGTGGCATGGTAGTTGAGATGGCTGGACTGTGCAGCACGTGACCGACTGTGCAGTTCAAATGTCAGACCCAGGGACTTGAAAATCACGCCAGGCACGTATGCATATGTGCCCAAAATCCTGAGAGGAAAAATGGAGAAAGGAATGTGGCATGGTCAGCCCCACAAAAGGGGTGATTTCTCAGGAAACCAGAGAGAACTCCCTACACCCCAGTCTCTGGTGAGTGCATGTGCCCTATAGCAAAACTAATAAAAAAAAAAAGGTCTGACTTGAAACCATAAACCAATCCTCTACTCACGAACCGAGCCCAGTCAATCGTGGGAATAGCCGCCCAGTCAGTAATGTAGTAGATGGCTGTCATTCTCTGGTCTCTTAGCATCCTCAATTCTTTCCATCTGGGGCCTCTCTCCCCCTTATTCTCAGCCTATGGGCTCCTGGAGAAGGCAGCCTACCTTGTGATAGGTTCTGAGGCAGATAGGATTGGAAACACAGTAGGATGCTAACCCACTATCCATCCTCAGTCCTCCTTGGTAACAAAACTTCAATCTTGGGAACCAGCAGTTAGCGTAATGGCTGTGTCGCTGGACTCCCACGTAGTCGACCGCGGTTCGTGTCCTGGACCCGGTGGCTTAAACTCACGCCGGGCACGTGTGCATGCGTGCCCAAGATCCCGAGAGGAGAATGGAGGAGAAGGGATTGCGGCGTGGCCATTCCCCCTGGGGGGTGATTTCTTGCTTTCTGTCTCTCTGTCTCTCTCTGTCTGTCTGGCGAGCGCATGCGCCCTATAGCAAAAACCTCTCCAAAAAAAAAAAAAAAAAAAAACTTCAATCTTGGCTGTGGTGGCAACGTACCTGGCTCCCAGTAATGCATCACTGTAGGTTTAAGCTAGTTATGACAATTCTATTTTCTATTCATCTAGCCTGATGGCAGCAATGACTACAACGTGACCTGGTATATAAGGTCACATCTGTTAGGTTCTCCTGGGGAAGTTTTATTGCCCAGTGAAAAATTACTGATGAGAAGTACCACCTCTCTCCCCTTCCTGCTTTGAACTCAGGTATGATGCCAGGAGCTGTAGCAGCCACCTCATATTCTCAGGGTAAAGGCCAAGAGAACTCAGGGCCTGGCACTGTTGAGTTGCTGAAACACACCAGGTTGCCACCTACCACCAGGTATCTTATGTGCAAAAAAACTAATCTCTCTGCTCAAGCACCATTGGTTGAATTTTATGTTTGCTGTAGCTAAAGCATTCTTTTTTAAAAAAATTTTTGCTAAAAAGGGTGTGTGCATGCTCCAGAGAGGGAGAAGGAAGTGAGCAATCACCCCGTTGGAGGATGGCCACACAGCAACCTCTTCCCCATCCCCTCTCAGAATTTTGGACATGCATGCACATACGCCCAGTGTGAGTTATAAGCACTTGGGTCCAGGACTCAAACAGTGGTTGAACATGTGGTAGTCCAGCACCTTAACCACTATGCCACCTGTTGGTCCCCATGTCATTTCTTTCTTTCTTTTATTTTGTTTGAGATGTTTTTGCTATAGGGCACATGTGCTCGCCAGAGAGAGAGAGAGAGAGACAGAGACAGAAAGCGAGAAATTATCCTCGAGAGGGATGGCCACGCTGCAATCCCTTCTCCTCCATTCTCTTTCCAGGATCTTGGGTATGCATGCACACATGCCTGGTGTGAGTTTAAGCCACTGGGTCCAGGAGTCGAACCGCGGTTGACTATATGGGAGTCCAGTGACATAGCCATTACGCCAACTGCTGGTCCCCCCATGTCATTTCTTAAGTGGTAAGCAAACACCCTTGACTTCTAAATCTCAGCATTTCTTGATAGTTCACTCACTGCAATCAATACAGAGAAAAGTTACAACCAAAGCAAGTGAGTACATTCACCTTCTTTTTGTTTCTTCTGTTCGAGCTTCATCTTCTTTGCCAATAATTTCTTCTCTTTTAACTTCTGGCTACAAGCATAAAACACATACATTAAACAAAGTAAAACGGATGTGCATGCATGTCCAAAATCCTGAGGTGCGAATGGAGAAATAACTGTGGCATGGCCATCCCCCTTGAATTCTCATTCTTTCTCTCTCTCTCTCTCTCTCTCTCTCTCTCTCCCCCTCTCTGGTCATTGCATATATCCTATGGCAAAAAAATACCCAAAAAGGGAAAAAAAAAAAAAGCAAAATGGGAGGGGCCAGTAGGTGGTGTGGCGGTAAAAGTACTGGACTCCCATGAGGCCAACTGCAATTTGAGTCCCAAATTTGGTGGCTTGAAAATCACTCTGGGCACATGTGCATGCATGCCCCAAAAATCCCAAGAGAATGGATTGGGCCTGGCCATGCCCCCTGGGCGGGGGGGAGGGGGGAAGGAGAGTTATTGGTCACTTTCACTTTGTCTCTCCCTCTCTCTCCAACAAGCACATCCTATAGCAAAAAAACAAAAAAACAAAAACAAAAAAACCTTTAAAATAAATAAATAAATAAATAAATAAATAAATAAATGCAAAATGGGGACAGCAGGTGACAGAGAGATTAAGGCAGCTGGATTCCACAAAGCCGATTCCTCAGTTCCAGTCCTGGAATTTTTAACCAGCAGCTTAAAAATCACACAGGGGGGCCGGCAGATGGTGTAGTGGTTGGGATGCTGGATTCCCACGTGGCTGACTGTAGTTCAAGTCCTACAGCTGGCAGCTTGCTTTCTCACTTTTCTTCTCTCTTTCTGTCTCTCTCTGCTCAAATTAAAATAAATAACAATGATAAGTAAAATTAAATAAAATAATTCTTTAATAATAAAAAAAAATCACACAGGGAGGACCAGCAGATGGCATAGTGGTAAGTTGCTGGATTCCCACATGGTTGACTGCGGTTCAAGTACCAGAATCAGCTTGAAACTCATACTGGACGTGTGTGCATGCAAAACCAAAAATTCCAAGAGGAGACTGGAGGGATTGAGGCATGGCCATACCCCCCAAGGGGGTGATTTCTCACTTTCTATCTTTCTTTGTCTCTCCAGCAAGTGCACACACCCTATAGCAAAAATCTCTTAAAAAAAAAAAAATTACACCAGGTACGTGTGTGCTGCCCAAAATCTCAAGAGGAGAACAGAGGAGAAAGAATGGTGGCATGGCTACCCCTTCTAGGGGGTGATTTTTCACTTTCTCTGTCTTTCTCTGTCAAGTGCACCTTCCTATAGCAAAAAAATGAAAAGATTAAAAAGAAAAACAAACACCACATACATGATTCCTAAACTACTTAATTAATTACCTTGTTAACTACCTTCTTAATTTTTCTAATATTTGAGAAAACAAATACCTACTTATGGCATAAGTTTAAAAACCTTAAAAACTTTCAGGGACTAGCAGGTGGCATGGTGGTTAAGGTGCTGGACACTCTCACATGGCTGACCATGGTTCAGGGCCTGGACCTGGTGGCTTGCTTTCTCATTTTCCCTCTCTCTTTCCCCCTTTAAAAAATAATTATTTATTTAATTTTATTTATTCATTTATTTATTTTGACCAGAGAGGCACAGAGCAAGAACGAGACAGAGAGAGAGAGAGAGAGAGAGAAAGCAAGCCGCCAGGTCTGAGATTTGAAACGTGGTTGGCCATGGGGAAGTCCAGCGACTTTAACCACCACACCACCTGGCAGCCCAAATAAATAATTCTTTAAAAAAACCTTAAAACTTTGTAACAACACAGCCATTATAGTAACAAAATAAAAGATAAAGTTTCTCATAATTCTGCAACTGTGACATTATTAAGCTGTTTTCATTATTAATAGAGAGAAAATCCTAGGGAGTCCTGAGGTGATTAAAGCAATCTCAGAAATATTGGACATGCTTCTTCATTCCAACATATTTAGGGACTGTTTTTAGAATTCTGCTCAGCTCTCTAAAAGTTGATGGATCATGTGTGTGCACGCGTGCGCACACACACATACACACACACACACACACACACAGCCTGTGTATATCGATGAGTCACTTGGGGAAGTCATGGATTCTAACTCAAGGAATAGTGGGAAGTAGGAACAAATGGGAAGTTTGGTTCTGGCATTTGTTAAACCTGATGTTAAAGTACAGCGGCAAAGGACACAAAGGAGACAAGAAACCCATGTGATCACTAGAGGCCTGGCTTCTAAGCTTTGGAGAATCTGTAACAAGCTGCGGGCAATAAGGGATACCCCCCAATAGCCACCACCCACTACCTGCTCTGCTTACTAGAAGAAAAGGCATTCCTCTACCGGGCTGCTCCATCTCAGGTTAACACCCCAACTCCTAGAGGTCACGCAGATGAACTCTAGCCGCAAGGACTCAGTTCATTCGTGAACCAGCCATTTTCATACCTCCTGCCCAACTCACTGCTGTCAGGAAAGCCATGATGCTCTTACCGCTTTTTCCGACGCTTTGCAGTCTGTTCTTCTGCAGCAATTTTATTCTTTTCCAGTCTTTTCTGAAACTCTGCATCCAATTTTTGCTGTAAAAAAACACACATCATTTAAATATACTCTGGTCTGGGTAACTACAGGAGGTGTTTCACTTGGCCTGGGTATAACAGTTCTAGGAGTCTTACCACTAGGGGCGCTATAGGCACTATTTAGGTCCCCAGGGCCACTTTAACTTTAAAAGGTTGCCCCATAGATAGGGCAGGTAATCAATAAATGGGTCTCTAATGGCAAAGTAGCTTTTACAGTTCACTGAGATGCCATTGACAAACCACAAAATATAAAAGAGAAAATATGAGAGGGAACATACAGTACAGTACTGACGATCTGTTCAGCCACAGCCTAGGATCATATCTCATCAGATGGAATGACTACAGGGCCAAAACTGTGGACGCTCCAAGTCCTAATCCCAGCTAGTTACCAAATGACCAGTTCTTTCTTTCTTTCTTTCTTTTTTTTAAAAAATTACTTATTTAATTTATTATTATTATTATTATTTTAATTTGCTACAGGGCATGTGTGC